CTCAAGGCTGATTTAAGGCTGATTTATACTCGACGCGTCCGCAAGTTCGCTTTGAGTGCGCGCGACGTCGTTTCCCGTGGCGGTGTGCACAACATTTTTTCTAACTTTCCGCGCAGCTCCGCTTCCGAAGATGCACGTGAACATTTGGGCGGCGTTATGCAAATCTTCCCACATAGTGAGGTAGATATGTGGGGGCGTGTTAGAACGAGCCGTTTTAGGTAGGTGTGGCTGACTCTGAACTTTTATAAAGAATATCTCTTTGGATTTGAGACTTTAGTCTTTGCAACTTTACAGATCTTCTTTATGCACCAAGCGCTTGTAACACTCCAAAGAGAAAGGAAAAATTGAAATCGCATCATATGACCCCTTTAAAACCACTGATAGAGAAAACACACATGTGGGCTAGACCTATAGTGACAAGTCCTCTGTGTGACAACTAGTCCCATTCTTCTCTGTTCTGAAGCTAAGCATGACTAGAAAACATATATAGCCTGCAGAAATGCTCACAAATTTTCAAGGCCTGGAAATCACGATTCCACAATTCCGCGTTATTTACTTACCGTGGGAACCCAGTAAGCAGTGCATCCAGAGACACAGAGGCAGACTTCATCAGCACCGGGCGGCCAGAACCACACCCACAGCACCAGCCATCACAGACCCACTGCAGCTCAACATCTCCGATCATCAAAGCACAGCACAACACATCAAACAAACCGCCGGATGACTGACAGCGCTGCGTCATCATGATTGACAGCCGAAAGATGAAAGCGAATCGGCACCAATCAGACGTGTTTCAATCTGGAACTACACCGTTTACAAAGCTTCACGAGGACAGATGTCACGGTTACATTACCGAACCAAATGCTATGAATTAAATATGGGTGTGTGATGTTGCAAGCGATGAGCGCGGCGGGCAGGACCAATAAACTCTCTCCGGTGAAAGTGATGAGACTACCAAATTCATTCATTGCGCTCATACAACCATTCGCATTAAATTATTCATTTATTTCATAACAATGAAATACCACGTAGCAGTGTGTGTGTGTGTGTGTGCTGGAGAATCAAATGGACTTGTGCAGTGATCCAGGTTATAAATGAACATTTGTTCGTACGATCCCCAGTAACTTGCCGTGAGCGTCTCAGGTGTCCGCGGTCCAGAAGGCCGAAAATGTGTCCTTAATTCCCCTCTGTCCGGAGAAACACGGCATCTGAGAGCAGTTGCGGAAGTGTAGATGAGGGCGGTGTGTGTTGATGCTGTTATAGTGGTGACAGGCAGCGTTACATTAGTCTCCACTACACATGCAAGAGAAATCCGGCGGCGAATTTTTGAATCCTACTACTGTGAAGGTCTCGCGTTTAATATTCATGAGCAACGCTCTCGCTATTGGAACGGAGCGGTGCAGCGTCAACGGTAAGTATTTAATATATATGAGCCAAGCAATAGCAATTGGAATGTATTAACACACGTCAGCTGTACATAATTGATATTCATAAACTTAGCCTTAGTCATAGTACGATCTGTAATTTCACACAACACCTCCACGCCCACACTCTAAAAAATGCTGGGTAGCACTGGGTTGTATTTAACCCAGCATTTTTTAGAGTGCACAGTTGAAGGACGTCATTCAAAACTCCTCAGCAAACCCTCACTGTCAGATAAAAATGATAGTGCTGTGTTTAATTATTTGATGTTAATTATTGTATCTTAAACTGTAATCTCTATACATTTCGTGTGTTGATGTGGATACCCTATGTTTGTAGGTTTGGTATTTTTCAATTAATAATAATAATAATAATAATAGGCCTAATAATAATAATAAATAAATAAGAATGAAAAATCTAAATACATTAAATCAAGTCTAAAAATTTATCATTTTTAATTTTATTAATTTATTAATGAATAATGTAGTTATTCAATAAATGCTTTTAAACAAACAAATAAACAAACAAACACTTAGGCCTATTATAAGAGACAACTTACAATAGTGCCCAGTTCTTTCAGATATTGGTTGTTTCAAAGAAGAGTTCCCCGCTGATTAAATCGGGTAATAAGTCATAAAAGTAGGGAGAGAGGAAAGTGTGGTTATAGCATGAATGAATGAATGAACATAGTCATTTTGCAGCACCACCAGCTGCTGCCGTGTAAGGGGAGGGAGGAGCGTGGGGTTGACAGTGGGTCTTTGCTGAGTGAAGTGGAAAATCAAGCTCAGCCCCAGAAACATCACTAAAATGCCATCATTCTGACCTAGATTTCCTTGTCTGCTTGCCTCTTTCTGTCTCTTCTTGTATACTGTACGTATGATTGAGTGCAGTTAAACAGACATTACAGCATGCATGATTAACACCATATGCGGGCCACTTCCCCGGGCCAAACTCTCTCTCTCTCTCTCTCTCTCTGGATTCACAAAGATCAGAGCATAAAATCATGAAAGTATGACATAAGAAAAAATATATCTTCAAAAACATATTTTGGGAAATAGTAATGGGGGGGGGGGGGCAGATGCAACACAATATATACAATTAAATTATCATATTTTCTAGAGTTCTACATTTGAGTATTTGTGTCCTTGATATTGTATACACAAATGCAATGTTTCAAATGCAGTGTTGGGGAAAGTTACTTTTAAAAGTAATGCATTACAATATTGCATTACTCCATAAAAAAGTAACTAATTACGTTACTTAGTTACTTTTTTGGAAAGTAATGCGTTACGTTACTTTTGCGTTACTTTTTAAATCTGGACAGGGCTTGCTTGTTTGTTTTTAAAATAAAAAA